TAGCTCTGACATAGGTTTTCAGTAAAGAACACAAACCTTACCATTTGGAGGAAATCAATATTTTATTTTATTTTATTACTTTATTTTTATTATAGTCATAAAGATAGCCTCATGTCCTTATGAGGAAAAGCAGTTTTAAGTCTGAAAATAAATGATTTTAAAATGTTTTCTTACAATGACTTTAAAAATAACTGGCCCCATCATGAGCAGATGCAAGAAAAAGAATTGAATATCTTAAAATGCCTTTCTTCTGTAAATATTTTTTTAAAATCTATAATTCACACTTTGAGAAGCCAGCTACCTAAACACAATAGCACTTTTTAAAAAGAGGACCCAGTGAACCATAACAGCTGGAAACCTGAGAGACAATATCATAACACAACTAAGAACCATATTTTTGACATTCACCATAGATTTCTTTTTCTGACTATAGCATGTACATGTCACCCAACCCAAACCCTGAATTAGTAAATGTGCTGTTGGAAACCATAAAACACCTCTATATATTTATGTGAACCTTTCTTCTTTCCCAACTGCATCACCAGAGTAGATTGGTATATAGGCCACCCAACTGCATATGCTGAATCTATGGGGGGGCAGGATGGGGAAGGGTTATGAGCAAAGACCCTACAGCCATGCTGCCTGGGCTGAAACCTCCATGTATCCATACTCCATGTGGCCATAGGTGCATTACTTCACTTCATATCCTCATCTGTAAAATGACATGATGACATCTTTTCTATATCATAGAGCTGGTGTGAGGATTAAGTGTGATCCATACATGGAGAGAACTTAGTAGAGAGTCTGGCGTGTTTCACGGACTCAATGTCTGTTACCTATAATTTAGTTTTCATTTTGTAGGCAGTGATTTCAGAAGCTGCTGCTAACTATTGCCTATCTTTAGTCATATTTCTTATAGAAGTTCTCTGTGGCTACAGGGTCTTAATAAACACACCTTTAAACATACAATCCAATGGTATTTTTTGTTTGTTTTTAAATCCTTTGTTACATAATCTATTCTATTAAGTGTTCATCCCAATGTAAAAGGATCTATACATAATTTTTGTTGTTAGTTGAAAGTGCTTTGATTGTAACAGCAAAATTGACACTTTTGTCAAGTTGACACTTACTGAATCTCATTACTGGAATTATTGTGATGGCTATTAAGGGTGAAGGGACAAGAATTAGACCTTTGATTAGTTTTGGGAATGAGGGAGTTGCTAAGTTTAGCAACACCCTATCTTGTTATGATTATTATTTATTAGCTTCTCGTAGGGTAGTATTTGGGTCCTGATTTGCTTATTAACTTGGGGGAAAAAAGGACTAATATTAAACAGGACCAAAATAATAACCAGAATAGACCAGCATCCCTATAAGCTTAGAGAAAATCAAGCGACCATGCCTAGAATAGTTCACAGGTGGCACATAGAAGGAGGACATTGAAGAGCAGCTGGCAGACACAGACTGGGTCCTCTCTAAGGGATGGGTAGACCATGTGGGCTACTAGGTATCCAGGCAGGGAGTCAGCCAAAAGCTTTTGTTTTTATAATGGTCTGATTCCAGAATCACAGCAGTGACAATAGCTCAGACATGGGCATACTGTGCCTGCAGCTCTAAAATTAAAACATAATGCTTAAAGCTGGCAGTTATATTCCCCTAAATCCATTTTTAATTCTAAACAAAATACTCTTAGGAGGATTCTGCTCTACCACTGCCCACTCTCATGGGTTTAATTGGCAAGATGTTCTAAGCCAATCAATTTTAAATAACACCCTGGGTTTCCTGCAACCTTTTTCATAATATAAGACTCCCCATTTCTTTGGAGGATCTACAATATATCACTGTCTAAAGAAAAGGGATCCACTTACTTGAAAATCCTATGTAGACAGAAATCCTTTTTATTCAATCACTTGATTTTTTTTTCAAATAAGTTTAAGTCTACTTTTTTTTTTTTAAATTAGGGAAGTCCAAGACAATGATCATGATTGACTTTATTTCTTTTTAATTTGGTGACCAGAACTTTGCAAGACTCCAGAATCACCCTTCTGAAGGACATTGCCCAACCTTGGGGCTACAAGGAAGAAGCAGGAAACTGAAGGAGTAGAAACTTAAGGAAAGTCACTAGAAATGTTTTTCTTTGCTTTCAGCCTTTTTTTCCCCCATTATGATTCTATGTCTCTAAATGTTGTATACAAGATTGCATGTGTACAGGGAAAGGCACATGGACACTGGTGGGTTCTCATTTAAAATCTCTTCTAATAAGGTTTGTCAGTAATGGAAAGAACAGAGTGTTTCAGCCACAGGAAAACATTTATTTCAACCACTAGCATTCACTGGGCCATGCTACCTAGCTGCTATCAGATATTCAGACAAAACCTGGTTAGCCCAATTAACTAGCTCCCCAAATTTAAGATGAAAGTCTACCTGAGCCATGCTAATCAAAGTTGTTTCATGTTCCATTTGTGCAAGTGCTAGGTAGCTTCTGTTTAGATCAGAGAAGCTTTTATACCACTACAGGTGTATGTGGAGAAACAGAAGAGATGGAAAGAAAGACAAAAATATCCCAACATATGGGTAGGGATGGAACTGACAGATGGGAACCATCTTAGTTCTAGAAAGGCAAATTGGGAAAGAGAAAGATGTTTGAACCAAATTTGGGGATGTGGTGTGAAATTATGCCATAACTTTTGGATCTTAATATCATGAAACAATTCTCTTTACCCTATTCCTTTCAATCGTTGGGAAAGGTGAGTAGAAAAATAATTCCTTTATGCATGGAATGGTTTCAAAGGATGACATAGTCCTTCCACTGCCGTCCTAAAAGAAGCTCCAAGGAACTCGTCACCAAAACATTTCAAGTTTCCCCATCAATTCCATCTTCAAATTTCATCACTATCTTCAGTTAAAAAGAGTAAACCCTTTTCTGAGAATTTAGCCAGAGTAAAAATTACTTTATCCTTTCCTTGCTAATAAGACAAAAAATGTTGCTATGATAGGTACATAAGCTCAGAAAGCTGAGGTTGCTGGCTCCTTAATATAACAGAATGATTTCTACTAAAACCAAGTGATTGAGAAGGTGAAAAGACTCAGTTCATGAATTTTGCCTTGCTGACAATCTAGCCAAAGAAAGGGCTTAAAGAATATGTACTCCCGCTGCTTCAGAATTTGTGATTATCAAGCATTAGGACCTGCGGCACAGGAAATAAATGCAGATTTTTTTTTTTTTGCACCCATTCAATCTTACACAGCTTATAGATAAGTTACAAATTTGGTTTAGTGCCCTACTTTTATGTATAAGCAAACAAGATCAAGAGATGGTAGATCCATAGTCACACAGCTAGTCCACTGGCAGAGCTAGAATTAAAACCCTGGGCTCCAGACACCTGATTCAGAGCTTCTCATCAACCCCAGTCCCAATGCCTACTACCCAGATCATGTCACATCAGATGAGGATTTGTGTAAAGAGATGGTCTAAGAAGGCAAAGAGATAGATCTGGCCAAATATCCATTTGGTATAGGGCAATGTTTTATTCTCCCTCATTTTAAGGTAAAATAAAAAGCAAATGTTTCCCCCACAAGGACTTGTTAGCTGAGTAAATCAGAGTCTTCATATTCCAAAACTAATTGTGGAAGACATTGGCTTAAGCATATTTACACCTACAGGTGATGTCCTAAAGTAAGCCGAGAAGCTTCCCAGTAGTAATTAGAAGGGGTGTCTTCTTCTCATTCAAACTATTTCTAAAAAACTCCTTGATCATTCTTGCCTAGGTACCTTGCTAATCTGTCTGTACTTGACATGTAATAGCAGCAAGTGCTAGATGCAGCCACGCCAGTCTAGCTTTTTCAACCGTAGAAAGTAAGGCTGCTGTTGCCTCAGGGAAGGGGTTGGTGTTAGCTGACTAACACAATCAACACTTATAATAAATGGGATGGAGATATGCAAAAGCTACCAGTAGGAGATAGGATGCCTCTTATGTGGAAATTAAGAGGGGATTTATTGTAACTTAATGGATGGCATAACCCTTCCAGAAAGAACATTACCAAAGAAACTGGAACTCACCATGGAAACAAATGAAATAAGGGTTACAAGACAATAGGGTTACCAGGGTTAATATAGCACTTTTAAGATGAAATGGGGCCCAGACCAAGATTTTTTGCATCCCCCAAAATAGACCTGTCAGAGATATCATTAGCTATTCAAAACATCCAACAAACTCTCTTTGTTTCGCACCAACCCCCCCACCCCCACCCCACCAGGTTCCCAAACAGCCATCTGATAGGCAAACATTCCCCTGGTGACTTGTGTTCCCAAAGAGAATAATTCATAGGGTCAGAGACCTTAATTAGCCCATCAGATTAAGAGTTCTGTTTCTCATTGACCATTAGCATTCTCGTTTATTCATTTAAGGTCTTTGGAGTTGTGATAAGTAAGAACCAGCAGAAATCAGAGACAGGCTCTTTGTATACCTGGATCTGGAAAACTGAAAAAAAGAGATGGTGAAGGTGGTGAATTCAAGTTTATACCTGGGAAAATTGTTTCTGGGCAGTGAGCATCCTTTCTCTTCAGAGGGAGTTTTCATCACACCTCTTGAGGCTGTCACATCTGTGTGTTTAACAGACTCTACCTTGTTTTTTTGTTTTATTTTTTTAAGATTTTATTTATTCATTCATGAGAGACAGAGAAAGAGAAAGAGAGAGAGGGGCAGAGACACAGGCAGAGGGAGAAGCAGGGTCCATTCAGGAAGCCTGATGTGGGACTCGATCCCAGGACTCCATCCCGGGACTCCAGGACCACACCCGAGGCCGAAGGCAGGCACTAAACTGCTGAGCCACCCAGGAATCCCCCAGACTCTACCTTGTTGATGAAATGTTTCTGTGTATATGTAGATGCTATGAAGAATAGCAACCTGAATGTCAGCTCTAAGAAGGCACCCGGAGAAAGGACATTCTTGGAAACCGCCACTCAGTACCATGCACTTAAAATAAAAACAAAACGGTACCTGTCTCCTTAGGTCTCTTGTTTTCTTGGTCATCTTATCAATTGCAATGTTTAGAGGATCTCCTTTTTCTTTTCTTCCAGTCTATTAAGAGAAGAGAAACAATCTCTAGATTAGATAATTCAATTTTAATTTTAAAATTAAAAAAAAAATTGGAAATGTACTTGACTGGTAGAAACCAAGCAAAAGAGAGAGAGAGGAAACTCTTTTCAATATACAACTATTATGATTTGTCTCTAAAATTAGTTTTCTCTGAAATAAAAATTTAAATTGCAGAAAAATAATACAGTCTCAGGATGGTTTACACATATGTCCATACTTAACTTCATCCAAGTATATTTTCTTCCTGCTCCAGACATTCATCAATTAAGTAAACACAGGATGTTTGCTTTTGCCTTCAAATACAAATGTTTTTTTTTTCCTGCTGTCTTATGTAAGCACAGCTCTGAATAGAAAATGATTGAGATAAGAACTAAATTAGAAAAAAATTAAAATAAATCACTAGAATTCAGAATTTCATATCAATATATTCTAGGCCATATTGTAACTTCTGTATCATAGTAAAAAGAGATGCTTTCCTACAAAATACAGTGTTTGTAATCTCTCTTCTATCATGCACTAGTATGCAAAGTATGATAATAAGGAACCCATAGCTTGAAGTCATAAGGAAAATGTCTCTTATGACTTTAAGAGGCAGAGGTAAAGGCAAAACAAACAAATGAAAAATCCAAAAAACTCTTCTTTAATAAATTATTCACTAGGAAGTTTGAAAATTTCACTGAATAATTTCTTTTTCTCTTTTCCTTTGCTCTTTCCATCTTTCTTCTTTCTTTCTTTCTTTCTTTCTTTCTTTCTTTCTTTCATGGCTGAAGGAAAACAATTAAACAGACAAAATAGATTCTCCATTATCCTTTTAAAACCATAACAGCAATAACAAAATTCCCATGGATGAAAAGCTCTACAAAACTTTACAGATGGCAGTATCTTCCCTTTAAGAGAAAATTCTTTTCAAAAGCTTTGAAAATCTATTAAATTATCTATCCTTTAGTCAAATACCCTACAAATTTAATTATTCATGGTCTTCGTGGTGAGTCCATTCCTGTTTCATATTCAAGTCTCTGTAGAGTCATGTAGGTCTATATAGTAATTTGTATATTTGACGAAAATTATAACAAGATAAGTGTGTTTTGAGGATCCATCGAAATACCATTCAAGAGGTTTCTAAATATTCTCTTCCAATGACAAAATTCTGGAGGTGGTATATACACATCAGATCTACTTACAACTAGATTTAAAGCAGTCATTTTTTTCTGTAACTTGCTTAATTAACTATTTTTTTTTCTGAGCTGATGTATAACCCTATACAGTTTTTATTAAAAAGCCAAAACCAGGGCATATGACTGTATATTTTGAAACATCTAAAATCTTAAAAATTCCCTTATCTTTTCCACTCCCAAAACTCATATTCTGACCCTTCCATGTGTATACACTGAAGTTTATAAGTAGAAAGAGCTCAAAATAGAGTGGTAACATTTTACAAAGTTAAAATATCAGTGTACAAATAGCTCCAAGAAAAGACAAGTATATGGAGAAGAACAATGTGCTGCATTATCTGTGGAGAGAAGCTGGTTACACAGCAAATGGGACTTTGGTGCCCTGTCTCCATATTCAAGGTATGCCACAAGTGTAGCAGCCAAAAACTGCTTTCTTTTCTCTTTAGCTTTCTTCTTACAAACAGGATGTTCTCCATTAAAATGTGAGAAGGTCTAGTCCATGATCATTCTAAGAACCAGATTTCCTATGCCCTTTCCATTTATGAGAGAAATAAAAACTTTCTTTAAAAAACTAACAATTATGAGTTTGGTTTAAAATGTGGCTATGAGGGATGCCTGAGTGGTTCAGTGGTTGAGCATCATGTCATGATCCCGGAGTCCTGGGACTGAGTCCCCTGCAGGGAACCTGCTTCTCCTTCTGCCTATGTCTCTGCCTTTCTGTATCTTTCATGAATAAATAAATAAAATGTTAAACAAACAAATAAATAAATAAATAAAAATAAAATGTGGCTATGAGAAAAGGAGACTGGATCACTGAACTTTTCAACCTAAAAGAAAAAAAAATCAAGACAATGTGTATATACAAAATGATTACTGACAAAATACTAAGTGTTAGACACTGGGAGATGCTGTATTTGGCAAGTAAAGTAATCTCACAGAGAAGTGGGAGAATTTACTACACAGTAAGTCCTGAGTAAGATCTGGATAGGAAAGAGGAGAGTACTTGAAGGGAGGACAGGGTGGCAAAAAGAAAGCATCCAGTCAAGAAACAGCAAGGTGGGTTCCAGGAGGACAGTGAGTGGAATGGTGCAGGCTTTTCTCTGTGATGTAAAGGGATAGGTTTGATGAATTATAGAGACAAGCTACTTTTATAAAAGCTTCTTTATAGTGTGATTACTATCAACTATATTTTGATCTGCAAACTCGGATGATCTCTGGTGACATTAGCATTCTATGTCACTGTGTTGTCAGCATTCTGTTTGTGTAGTATTTGCAATACTGGGTTTCTTCAGCTTCCATGTCTTTGTCTAAAGACAACTAAAAAAATTCAGATGACCTGGGTGCCTCAGTTGTTCTCACTATTTAGAAAGGTTGGGTAAAGGCAAAGCAAGGACTAGAACTTTGGAAGTTTTTGTCACTGGCTGAAGTTGTTAATTCATGTGTCTTTTGTCAGTTCTAATTTCTTTAAATAAGGTATGTGTACAAGAATAATGGTAGTAGATCCTCAATGCTCAGTTTAACAGAGCAAATGGGGACTAGCAAACCATCACTTCATGCTTTTCTGGGCTCTATTAGGTTGGCATGTGGAAATACTTTTAAATTATCAGCTTAAATTGCACAGAAGCCAATCACTGAGAGAGACCAAAATAAATAAATAAATAAATAAGTCTTGCCTCCTGGTGGCAGCCATCCATTATTATGCTCTGTGGCCTAGGACTAACATTTTGCTCATTTTTATGTCTGAATTTTTCTCATGAACACAATGGATACCATAATATATACCCTGTCTGTTCACCAGGTTAGCAAGACAATCAGTCATGTGTCAATGACTGGAAAAAAATAAAAAGCAGTAACGTATTCAGAATAATTAGGAAAGTATTTTTATTGTGGAAAATAATAAGAAAATTGACTTGGAAACAATGTAGAAAGTTTTTGGGTTACCTGGACTTCTGCTTTCTCCATTCAGGCAGATAATATATGAATGAAAATTTGGCCAAAAATGAGAATTCTTAAAGGAAAAGTTATTTCCCTTTAAGGAAGGAATGTTTGAGACAGTTCATTTTAAATAGACAACTTATCTGAGATATTTCTAAGAGGTGAAATAAGGGGCAGAAACTTCAGATAATTGTCTTTTCCATAATAAGTTCTTGGATATATTTGTTAAATAACTAAGAATTTGATCATCTTAAGCAAATTCTAGTTGAAAGGGAATCAACTAGAAGCTTCACCCAGCTCTCCTTCTCTCACCCTCCAAGCTCTACCAACTAAAAATAGTTTAACAGACTGAAGAGAAAGGAGACCTAAGTGTTCATTTTGACATCATCACCTAATAAAAAACAAGTGTGTTGTCTTAAGTCAGTCATTCATTTACTCCCTGCCTTTGGTAAAGAGAAGAAAACAAAAACCAGTTGTAATCACTCTCTGCCAATATCTATCTAAGTGATCTGGCATCTCTACCCTCCACCTCTCATCTGTCCAATGGAGAAGCCAGAGGCAAGTTACAGAACCAGGAAATGTAAGAGCCTGAAAAACCATCAAGAGTACATGCCTCATTGCTAAGAAGCTCTCATGGCACTGCAGAGAGGGCTAGGGGGATAACAATCAGTTGGGGCTTTCTCATCTCGAAAATGTGGATAATGCTTTCTCTGTGGGATTGCCGCAAACATTAAAAGAAATGAAATTTGTAATAGCACAGTCCCTAACCCAGCAGAGATAAATCAATCAATGTTAGTTTCCTCTCCTTCCTCACCCTACGGGTCCCCTCAAAGATGAGGACAACAAGGTCCAGAGAGATGAACTGATTCTGATCACCTCACTATTTAGTGTCTGATCAGGACCTCCGTCTTCACAGTCCAGGGATTTTCCTCTCCAGGTCTAAACCATCTTCCATCTCCAAAATTCTAGGATTCTGTGATTTTATAGTTTCATGAGTTTCCATTCAAAGATTACAAAAAAAAATAATAATAAAAAAGAGAAAAATCTCAGTTTGAGTTATATTTCCTTTGTCATATTTGGTTCACGGATCTTATGTGCCTTTCTCAGATCTGCTCCCCATTTGCCTTCTTTATCTTCACCTGCAGAGAATGAGTCTGCAATAGAGATAGCCGTTTAATAAATATTGTTATTAAAAAAGAAGAAGGAGACAACAGGCAGGAGTCTTCTTTCACATTGCTACAGGCAACTTTCCTAGTTGCCATCTGTTGTGCTAGGGAGGTGCATGATTATTAAACTTTATTTGTTTTAGAATTTGGGCTCTATTTTACAAAACACATTTGGAGTAGATCCATGGTTTGAACTGATGGGAGGAAAAAAATGAATTTCCTGATTTGGATTTTAATAGGGGATCCTTTATTCTCCCATTCTCTGGCTCTGAACTCAAGTCCAGTTTGCCAAATTATCAGATGCTGTCAAGGAGACATTCATATTTCTATTTAATTCTACACAAAAGAATTGGGGCCATTAATAGAAATGTTGATTCTCACAATTAGTCTTCAGGAACAAGTCAATATTTTAGTTCAATAACTTGTTTATACTCGCCTCTTCGGGAAATAAAAGCCTCTCTTTTAGATAAGGATCTTCTTTCTTCTTCTTTTTCTCTTTTTTACTATATTAATATCCATTACCACTTCTGAAATACTGAATATATGTGCAATATATTTATATTATATGCTGCAAATTATACAACTGATACCAACTCCTAAATTTATAAAACAGAAAAATGGAATATTAATTTTTAAATATCTGAAATTGAATATTTACTTAAAGGCCATTCCTCATCCCATTCTAAATACATAATTCAGTACAAGTGGT